ATTCCTATTCCTAATAAAAGGTTGTATGTTTAAAACTGACACACTCTCTGTATATATATATGTATATAAAACTCTGTTGTGCTTGTAAAAGCAACTTTGATCTGAATTCCTTAAACTCTTGGCAAACATTTATTAAGCATCAAAACATTCAACATTGCTTGCTCTTTCCCCTCATCAACCATCTGTCCATCCACACATCCACTGAGTACAGAGATTGTGCACATGTTTAAACAGACAGTATACTGTATAAACTTTATTTCAGTGTAGCTACTCTCAGCTCTTACTGGTCTGACATGAAAATTTGTGTCTTGTGTATCTGTAGAGCCTGTACATATTCACAAAGTGTGAAGAACATATGTTGTAATGTGATCTTAATGTAAATAGGTTGGTTCTTCGGGGTTCTCACCTCATCCAGATGGGAATTGACATTTAGTATTTTACACCATTACAACTGTGTTTAGTTTTTCAACACATCTTGCTCCTGCCTTTGATCTAATAAAAAAATAAACATTCTTGATTTGATTTGCTCAGCTGCTGTCTCAGCCACGAAACCTAGATTTCATCTCGTGTCCTGAACTCGACTCCCATGCTGATTGTACAAATCTGTTGAATTCAATAAATGTATTTAGCCTTATTAAGATTCAGGAAAGCAAATATTATCCTCCTGTGATGCAGCAGATAACAGGAGTTAATAACAAGTATGTGATAAAGATCACAGGATTCCCTGTAAACAAGATGCTGCATTGCACAGAGAGCATCTTGTCTGCATATGTTTCATAAGTAACTAGGCATCCTCATGGGCTTCTTTAGTTATTTTAGAAAGTTGTGTAAACAGTATTATCTACTTAATGCCCCAAATGATATAATAATTGATATGGAAATGGGGCAAAGCTCAATAGATCGTAATGCAACTCTCCATGGACTCTTGGAGATGATCTGCCCAGATTTTATTTAAATATTCTTCTCACTTGTATGCAGCCTGTGGTTTGTTAGACATGCTAGAAAGACTAGACATGCTAGAAAGTTGGTTGGAAAGCATTTTTTTCATCACCTTTTTTCCTGGGAAAAAAATTAAATGTGAATTTATACTTGGATTTTTATCTGTTGTAGGCATATTTCAGAGATGTCAATAGCAATTTCAAACATAAGACCATTAAAAAAAAAAAGAAAAAGCAAAGCTCTGATGTATTGAGTGCTGTAGTTGAGAAAAGGGGATAATAACAGATTGCTGATGTATCCTCATCCACCTGCTCATTGTTTCAGTGCTCTTCATTAGCCCTACTCTTGGGGACATGGGCATCTACATGACGGACCCTCACAGACAGTTTCTCTACCCTGGTGGCGATGTCCTTCCACTCATCAGCAGCCCAGATTGGCTTTCCTCTGCGTTGCCAGTCGGCCCTTTTTCACCTTTCCAGCCATCCCCACAGAGCATTGGCTACCATCCATGAATCAGTGTAGAGGTAGAGTTTTTCCACTTCTCTCTAAGGAATTTTTTTCTTTTTCCCGGACAAGTTAGTGGGGAGGGGCATTTCCCTGGGGAAATCCCCATTTGGAGTTTTCCTTCCTAATTTGCCCTAAACTAAGACAACAGTACTCTGTAGTGGTTGTGTGATTCCTCTTCTTTAGACTACAAGAGCACTGAAAAGAAATTCCAAAGTTCTAAGAAATACTTAAAACTGGAAAAAATGTATTTCAAAATATTTTTCTGTTCCTTTTTGTGGAAAATGACACTGAAGTCTGTAGGTTTTTTATATATTCTAAAAATCTCTTAGGCAAGACTTTTGCTTTTTTGTTTCTGTAAAGTAGTTGTTAAAATATTTGTGCTATTCAACCACTTATTAGTTCTTCAGATATATTAACTAGTCAGAAATGTTATCCCTTGCATTGACCTCTCAAGAAGTTATCTCAGGTGTGTGACACCAGGCACAAGTGAAGCTGTGCTGTGGCTGCTCATGCAAGATGTACCCAAGAACACACAACTGTGACATGTCTCTTTTTGCAAAGCTGGGATGCCAGTTGTGCTTCAGCGTTACTTCAGGCAGCCAGTGTGGTCTCCAGACCCCCCTGTATTAGACTTTGGGAAAAATCACTTCTCTTACTTGTACCACAATTGCCCCAGCTGTAAAATGGGGAAAATGATATGTTGGAATGCTAAAATATAAGTAAAATATAGCTTTATAAAAGAGGACAAAGCAATGTTGGTAGTCAAAAGAAATCTGAGATGTGATTAGTTGATCAAAGTCACTCAGTGGGGTTGTGATACTGCCAAAAGCAGAGCTTGGGTCTCAAGACTTTCAGCTGGATACTGACTCCAGCCACCTTCCAGGTACAGAGAACAGCTGATGAAGGTTAATGATGTAAAACAGGACAAAAGCCAGCAAATGCTTGTTTCCATCTATTTAATTAAACTGAAGAAGTATTTTGTGAAAAGGACATGTTGTTTGGGGAGACAGGAAAAGGATTAAATGGATTTATTTATAAAACACACTTTTATCACTCAAATATTCTACAGCAGTGAAGAGTAGAAGTAAAATGGCTGTGGGGAGGCCAGCTTAGTTCATTTATTTTATTCTCTTGCATATGGGGTAGTGACAAAGTTTCCTTCTTCCAGAATAGTCTCACTGATGCAATCCTGTTCCCTTTTGCTGGCCTGGCACCTGGAGGGGTGAGATGTGCACCCTGGGGACAGCACATGAACCCCTTGGAGACTGCACTAACATTTCAGCCATTGCTTCTCCAGGGGCTTCTCAACAGGAGTTAAGGGAGGGCAACAGGTCAAAAAGACAGGTAGATGTGTGTGAAAATGGTAGCTGTTTCTCTTTTGAGCCATTCTCAAAACATTATTCAGAGGAAAACTAGGATGATGTGGCTGGTGTAGCTCACCCATTTCCTCCTTATGGAAAAGCCAGGACAATACAGCAACACTGCTCTATTGCTGCAAAGGTAATGGGAAAGGTGCTAATCTTGTCTGACTGCCTGCAGGAAATCTGTCCTACCTTCCTACACATTTCTGACTGTGGAAGGTAAAGCCATGTACAGGCGGAGGGAAACTGGTCCTTGCAGGCTGTTCTTACCAGTGGAAGACAGTATGGGAGCAGGAGTGTCATTACCTGTTAGTTTAATAATGTGTAACTTCTGTTACATGTAATAACATGTAATTCACTTTGCTGTAAAAATCAACTGAAAAAGAATATGGGGAAGTTGACTCTTGAAATGTGTGTAAGAGGAAGCAGAACGCTTTTGGCAGGTCCAACCACTCTCTGAGATTTTATAGCTAAGAAATGGGAAATTGGCTGACTGTCTGAGGGGCAGATCAGCCAGCTTGGTCTCGCTACAGCACAATGTAATATAGAGATAATTTTGTAACTTCTCTAGTTTATAAGGAAATAACATCTGATTCTAAAGTGAGACTGCACTGGTACAGAAACTGCATTCCACAATAAGCACACAAATTTGGCAACTCAATACCTCTTAAATTCTCTTCTGCCTCAAGATATCCTTGAGAATTGGAAGAGCCTTGTATAAATCAAAGTTGCCTCTATCCTAATGCACATTTCCAAGTTAAATGCTGGACTTAACTTATTTGGTCAAGTTTCACAGCTGTCCTATGAGTACCGAAAACCTGAATGAGGAAATTATATGGGGAAGTACTGTGTGAGGCAATAGAAGCACAGAGATTAAGTCACCTGTTCTAAGTTCAGACCAAGTCTGTGGCAGAACTCCAGGTGAAATCCAGGCTCTGTGAATCCCTATTTGTTGCCATAACTATCCTAGATTTTTCTTTCCAAAGTTTTTCAGTGTAATCTCTGTGGAGATTAATAAATTTTACATCTTAAAGATGTGCTCTTTCCAGGTAATTGTCCTTGCTAGACATCAGATACTTATGGACCCTCTAATCTTGTGGTCAGCTGCAAGGTGAGGGTCTGTGGGTACAGGTAGGTATTCATGGACCTCCCAGAGAAACTGGGGAGAATCCAAGAGAACTGTGCCTGGGATGCTGCACAAGGACGCTGCATAAGGATGGGAGGGGGCAAAAGGGAGGAAATAATTTTTTCCTATTCTCTTGTTTTTTCATCACAATCTGTTGTGGACTTAGAGCAGAGTGAAGGCCACGCTTCCTTTCTGCCTGAACTTGAAACTGCCTGAGTGTGATGCAGACCCCAGACATGTTTTTTTCCTGGCTGTTTTCTTACTGATTCACACAACCTCTAAGAAGCTGTTACCTTTGATCCATTTTAACTGTCCTGCAATAGGCTATGTTGTGGGAAGATTAGCCCTTAAGTCTCTTAATTAATTACTCTTAATTCTATTACTTCTGGTATAACTAGAAAAAATACTAGTTGTCAAATAACAAATAATCCATGTATTTTGTGTTTAATGCCTGGCTGTTAATAGCTACTTAAAATATTAACATTCCATCCTAGACAGTCCTATTATTCTGTATTTTTTTTCAAGACATCCTTCTTGTAACAATGCACAACAAAGTTTTTCAGCTTCAATGCATTTCCAATTAGCTGAATCTTTCATGTCTCAGGGAGGTAAATTAATACAGTTATTCCTATTTCATAGACAATGCCATTGTGGTGCAGGTAGTACCTGTAATGGGAGTGCAGGCTGAAAGTGCTCAGTGGACTTTGTTCAGCTACAAAAGGGAAATGAAATGTATTCCTTCATCTGTGATGGAATGATCATCACTTGTATTTTTTACTCCCACCAAAGCTGTCTGTAAACTTCTCCCTCCTCCTGCCCACAGCAGCTGAATTCAGTGGGAACAGGACCAACCCCATCATCCTCAGAAATGGCAAAGTGCCATTTGACCGGGCCCCAGCTGGAGGAGTAAAAAACTACATTCAGTGTCTGAAGGTGCACCCTTTAGACTGCATCTATCGAGAAGATATTTTTCTTCTTGAAAGGAAGCAGTTCCCACATGAACAAGTAACACCTCTGATTCTGTACATTTCCAAGTACTTTATTAATTGTATTTTCTTATTCTGACTTATCACATAAAATAAGCTATGTTCAAAATAACCAAATTAGAAATTATTATTTTCTTGCAAGCTGCCTTCAAAAAGCCTTAAGATGCTCCTCAGGTACTCCTCATATCTGTACAGTAGATGCAATATATTCCAGCATAGAAGCTAATGTCCCTTTGAAAATAAAAGATATTTAATTTAATTTTTTTCCTATTGTTCCCAATGTTATGCAAGCCAAACAGGTAATTTCCAGTTCCCACTCTTTCAAGAGTTTGCTCTTTCATTAAATTTTTCTTGTGTTCACCGTACGTACTCCCGAACTGTGAGTTCTTTCAGGGTAAAAACCCGTATGGGATCTTTCTTTGTCTTCCATTCTTCCAGTTTTTCTTGCAAAGACAGAAAATCCTTGCCAAGTTCATATGCCAGAGTGATCATTGTTTCTAACAGAGGAATATAATACCTGTGGCTGGTATGCACACGAAGGCGTGCCAGAGCTTTTTCTCCGTATTCAAAGGCACTTGCTGGGTTCTCCAGGTCCTTGTGGCACACCACGATGGCACAGAGAGTAGGGACAATTGCAAAAGGGTTCCCTCTCGTCAGCCTTTCCTGCAGACCAATGACTTCTAAAAGGATTTCCAAAGCTTTGGTGTACTGGCCACCCCGCAGGCAACCATATGCTTCCTGAAGCTCTGGCCTTGTTAAAAAGTCAATAAATTTTTTTGATCTTCTGATATATTTCATAGAATATAGGAGTCTCAGGTAGTCCTTGAAGGCTAATTTTCTTTCATTGATTACTTCTTCTGTGAAGTTCCCTGTTAGAGCTTTTTTGGGAAAGGTTACATCTTCCATTTCTTCGCTGTATTCCTCCAGCAGATTTCTGTGCAATTTCTCAAAATCTGAATAACGCCGCTCAATTACAGACTTGTTGCTGTCAAAACTCCCTGTTTGCAAAATGATGATTTTATACATCTAAACACAATCAAAGAGAAAAAAGAAGTATGAGAAGGGACCATTCTAGCCCCAGTGCAGTCAGATTTTGTCTGGTACTGCTATGAAAAGACTTTGTGCTTGTTCAGTCCTCCCGCTGAAACACTCCTGCACCAACTTTCTGTGCATAATCTCATGTGCTCCTATGGCAGTGCTGCTACATCAGTTACTGTCTGGGATTATGGTGCATACTCAGTGTAGAACTGAAAGATCTGCAGCCATCAAACTAAAAATTCCCACCTCCTGCTGTTCTGTACTTCTGTCACCAGACAGGCTTAGCATGTAAATAAGTTGTACATAAACAGGGCACTAACAGATCCCATCCTGCAAGGTGCTGGGAAAGCAAGCTAGCAGCAGACTGAAGCACATAAAAACACTTACAAAGCATTTCTGTAGTTGTACTTTGTTCATAACAGCCATGGCTGCTGCAATCAATCATTTTCAGTAAACTGAATGGATTTCCCAGGCTTAATATTGAATGTAATCTATATTACATCGGTCATAATATTCAGAAATGCTCTTTGTATAAGACATTCCTAGGGATTTTGGGTGCTAGTAATGCTGTGAAAGAAGAGGGAGCATTTGGCAATATATCTGGTGTGTGCAAAAATAAGATGGAGCAACTCCAAATCCCCTTCTCCCCTCTACATCATTGCCCTGTATTCAACTTACTTCACATTTAAATAATATAAAAAAGTGACATTTCTACAACGATCTGCTATCCAAAGCCCTTCACTAGCAGCTAACAGCTGTGCTGCTCCACATTAACAGTACTCAAAAGCACATCTTCCTCAGCTCTTCACTAACCCCAAAAAGACCATAATAAATGTGGTATTAGGCAAATAGCTGCAAACCAAAGTTCTGTGCTGTGCTGTCCAAATAATCCCTTCTGGTTCTGATCCAAGCACAGTGGTGTTGAGGAAGGGCCAATCCCTAACATGTGTAAGCTGTGGTAGCTCCATGAGGCCAGTCCCACTGTGTCACCAGACACCAGCTAAGGACACAGACTGCTGACCTCTTGGATGATGACCACGTCCACAGTCAACTTCACCTGTTCCCACTGATTTACACAGGAGCTGGAGGGGTTTTGCTCATGCCAGTTATTTTCTTTGCTGCTGTTCAAAGGTGCAAAAGTACTCGTGCTATGCCTGTCTGATTCTCTTCCTTGTTTTTCCTTAAAGAGAAATTCTCTCTTTTAATCTTCATAAATGAACTTTACAGGCACTTCTTGAAAGGTTTCTAAATTTGAGCTGACTTCTCTGATCTCTTTTCATTTGTAAGCACTATGACATTTTCCTATACTTTGTCCTGCTCCCTGCTGAAAAGTTTATACATGCCTGATGCATTCTAAAACAATCATAAGAGCAATTTTTTTTAAGCTATCATTTTATCAAGGGCAGCTAAGTGAATAATTTACAAGTACTTGCTTTTTTTATTTGTGGAGTGTGCATGGGAAAGGTAAAAAGTAGCACTTAATTAGACCGTCATTTAAATTGGCTCAATTTTGCTGTAACGTAAATCTTTTTGCCTAGGTTTGTGACTTATGACTATGTTTAATTGCACATATGCTGAATGATACTCTTGCTCTCATGCAGTTACACAAAACCAATTTTTAGGTATATTCAGAAGCTGAATACTCAGGAGTGTATGCAAGAAAAGCAGCAGCTAAGTAGGTGTGTTCAGCATGCAACAAGATCTTAGGACGGTCTTCAAAATATTTACCTGCTTCAAATTCCACCAAACTGGATCACCTAGTATCAGCAATGCTGATTTTTGGCATTTTTCACCTACAGATCTCACAGACTGTAGCAAACAAGGAAATCATCCCTATCTGAATTTCACAGGAGTACTAAAAGGCATCCGCCCTAGATCAGTCCTTCTGAAGGCCAGGAGCAGAATCAGAAATAAAAACTAAGTGTCAGTACTGTGAAAAAAGATACAAAAATCCAGCCTACTTGGTTGTTCCCACTCCTCACACTCATGTTTCATCTTAAAAATATGACAGAAATATGCCACCTAAGGCAGCTCCAAGTAGGGAAGGAGAACAATCCCAAGCGATCTAGCTGGAGGATGTCGTAAACTTTGTCAACATCAAAGAATTCTGCACTTGTGCTAAGAGAAACCTCTGATGTGGAAGTTACACAAATGCACTGCAGCTGCTACAGCTGGCTAGCTCAGAGGAAGTGTAAATATACAGAAATTTTTACATTTGTGTGAATTTCCTTAATGTTGGTAAAACTCTGTGTTTTAAGTATACTCAAGATACTAATTTATTTGATAACAATTTTCCACTGCAGCAGATTTTGTGAAGTGACTGTCAGAGGGTTTTTTTAGATGCAGATTCCATCAGCCAGGCCCATAAAATCAGTGAGAACAGATTCTACTCAGTGTGATCGTGGCTTGCAAAACTTGGCCCTCGGTGAGGCTTTCATGTTGTGAGGCCTGCTGTGTGCTGTGCAGACCCCTGTAGAGTGAATAAAAATTAATGATCTTCTTACATATTAATTTCTTATCTTACCACATATTTAGAGAAGTGGTGCTCTACAATTCTGGTTGATGGGATTTCAAAAAGGAGTTTGATTTGTTTGCATTGACGTTTTTCATTCCTCCAATATTCCTGGAGCTCCTTAGTAGTCATCGAAGAGTTGGGGCTTAGGGTTGCACCGGAATCTAAAACAAATATATTTAGTATTTCAGGTTATATTTGCATTTGGAAAGAAAACTCTTATGTATTTGTTGTGAAAGGACAGCCTAGATTTTCTGTTGCTGTAACAGCAAGACCGAAAGACTCATAAAATAAGTGGTTTGACTGCTAATAGACAGGAGCACAGGCTTTGAGGAAAGCTATTAGGGTTTGAAAGAAAACATATCACCTGCAGAATACAAAACTGTAGAGAACATAGTGACACAAAGTATTGTATGTCAAGGTTGTAACCTAGGGTACAATCTGAGCAGGAGATTTGCTTCATCATCCCAGAAGTAGCCCTAAGAAATAGCCTTTTGAGTCAGATGTTTCTCCAGGATTCTTTGTTGCTAAATGGATGAGATAATACAATGCAGCTGCAAATTCAGACATATATTCAAAAACAAAACTGACCCTACTCAAACATGAGGTTTGTGCAGTAATAGGAGAAAGCTGAGAAAACATGAATATCCGAACCTCAAAGTTGGCTAACCAGCTCAGCTGAAGGAGGAATTCTCACATTCTCTCTTTTTGTTTCTTTTGTAGCTGAACTGGTGGCACAGTTCAGCTACAAATATTTTATACACCTCCCTCCTTTCCCCTCCCTCTCTTCCCACAGTCACATATACACACACATACATATATATGTGCACATATAAAAAATATGTGACAGCTGGTTGGAGAGTTTGCTTACAGAAGAATTTCATGTAGCATTTCAAAAAGGTGATTTCTCTTTGAAATCTTATAAAAAATATTCTAAATTATTCTAAAATAATTAGTCTTTGAAATCTACTGACAATGGATTTCATCAGGTGGCATATAGGCTAGCAAAGTGGATAAAAGAAATGGAATATTTGTATTTCAGTGGGCACACTGGTTCCAGTTTCTAATCAAGGATGTCTTTGTCAAGGCAGTCAGCTGAAGTCAGTGTGCATCTAACATTCTGCCAGTGGAGGTGAAGGAGCACAATTGAAGGGTAAGAGAACAGCTTGATGCAGAAATAGATTTGTAAAGGCACCACAGTACTCTTTCAGTGGCCCCACTTTTACATGTTCTTAATCATTTGACCACACAGTTTCAATTATCAAGGCCTTGGGGGTTTGGCTCAATCCCTACAAAGCATCTATTTCCTAGGAGAGGTGGCTTTCATTACATCCTTCCAGCCTTAAAATCTTGATGAGATTATATATATTTTGGGTTATACATAACATTTTATTTAATAACAGACAAGAGCAATCTTAGGTATGGTAAGTGTTCAGTGCTGCCTCTTTCAAGGCATGTGAGAGCTGCCTGCTTGAGATTAGCTTCAGTTTGGTGTCCTTGCTGATATTGCCAGGAAGCTCAGAATTGGTGATGCACAGGAAGTGCAGTCCCAAGCCTGGCTATCTGATGATCACTGTTTTCATTCCTGGTGTGTAAATTAAATCTGTGATACATTTTAGGCAGGAGGCATTTGAAAGGAAACCTGTGTGTGTATATACACACCAGGATGAGCATCAGTTTCACTATTGCTACATTATTACTACAAGTGTAATCAAGGCTTAATTTCTGTGGAGTACGGCAGTAGAGCTTTGAACCACTGCTGCAATAAATAAGCAAAGTTTTTGATACAAAATATTAACAGCATAAACAGCTAGATGAAAAATAAAATTAAAGGACAGCATCAACCTTGCATGTCATCTTTTTCTGGATTTTCTTTTCTCACTTGACATGAAATTTCAGCTTTGGGTTGATTTTCTTCTTCATCAGATGGACTTGTGGTAGAAGACGTAGTAATTCTGCTCACAGCTTCCAATAGCTCCCTTTCTGCCGTGCAGTGTGAATCTTGGTCCATTGCTTCTTATCACTGAAAGATTACAAACCCCATGACATTTCTTAGCACCACCCCTTTAGGGGATCTAGTCTGGTAATTTTTTTATATTATTCATTGTTCTCTGTAAACTTGTATCAGTGTAACTTCATAAAAACTAAAGTAATAAATAGAAATATCTACATAGTGCAGAACCATTCCTATTACTGCTACCAGTGAAAGTGTTTGGATGTTTTTCTGGAAGCTTAAAATCAAACAAGAAAGCCATAAGAAGTTATGTTGAATAAGATTAGGAACCCAGTTCTTACCTATGAGAATTTTGTCATGAACTTCAGTGTGGGCAGGTTTCTTCCTCCTTGTATTTTGCCCTCAAGCTTGCAAGTAGGAACTCAGATGAACTAAAAATCTTTGAGATAATTTGTATAACCAGCAGCCTGGTTCTCTTGCATTGCTGAAATATACTGTTCTCAAGACTCATAAGCTTACTGTCTCTTCTTAATCACAACCTGTAGGACAAAATAGGGTGATATCTAAAATAGTATACAGTTTTTATCGTATTTCACAGTTTCAGGTTCCCTCCAGAGACTTGTCTCTGTACTGTGAAAACAAGTTTCACAGTGGCTTGGTGGAAGGAGATCTGAATGTACTAATTATTATAAAGAAATATTCTCCTTTTACTTGTTCTTTTACCCTACATATATTGTGCTACATTAGATCTGTTCTGCTAGGACCACTATTTTACCAAGTGCTTAACACAATATACTCCTACTCCATAGACCAAGTTGGCCACTCTGCTGCTTAAATATCTCCATGTTGAAGGACGTTTTTTCTTTTGTTTTTTTTTTTAAACAAACAAACAAAACCTACCTGTTACACCACTGTGTTATATGAACAGTTGAAAAAGTTCTTAGAACATCCTAAAAACGTTGCCAAGGTGCTGTGCTCCCTTAGCATGAGCAAAGAGTTGCTCACTGTTAGCTGAGTGAAAACCAAATAACAGAACAATACAGTTTTACAAGAAACCCTACTAAAATACTGCCCAAGCAGTGGCTATTACATAATAGGAGGTTTTAAGAGGGTTGTTGCTACATATCATTTTGCCTCCACTTGCCTAGCACACAGTTGTGCAATGTTAGATACAGAGGTGAGGAAACTACTTCAGCAGACTTATTGATTTCTGGCAAGCTGCAAGGCTATAAAAAGAAAAGAAATTACTTTCCCCACTGGAAATACTGGAAGTGCAAACTACTTTCCTCTAACAGAAACCTTTCCTTTGGCTGGCTTGCACAAGCAAGTATAGAGATGTTGTCAATCTTAATGAAAGCATCATGGAGTGAAAGTTCCTCAGTCCTCCTTATGATCTGCTCTTTGAACTTGAAGAACAGCCACTTACATATCATTTACCTGCTCAGTCTTGTGAAAATCACAACAGTTTATCCCAAGAGCATATATAGCAGATTAAATGAGGAATCTGAAAATGACCAAACACATTAAAATGACAACTTTTTTTTGTGTTTATAAGTTGGGATAACTTTATAAGAAAAGTTGTATTTACATGGAGAGAAATCTTTGTATTTGCATAGCTTTATAGTCATAGGTATATATATGTATATATATGTGTATATGTATGTATATATATATATATAGACACTATTTTAAAACATGATTTACGGGGATACATAACACACTTGTAAACAGAAGAATGAAGAAGTGGATGTTACGACACACAAATCCTCTGCCTTGAATATACGTACCTTGAATACTAGCTGCACCTCATGCAGTTTCATTTTCACTAATGAAAGTGATGAGCTAAAACTCATCACAAGCACTTCTAACTAAGCTACCACTTATATTTCCGTAT